AAAAAAAAAAAAAGATACAGAAGATCCATAGAAGTATACTGCTAAAGGAAAACCAGTTTGAAAGGGTACATACTATATTAAAAGTCCAACTTTATAACACTTTGGAAACTGAAACTGCAGAGATGGTAAAAAGGGTTGTTGCTAGGAGTTCAAAGGGCAACAATGAATAGGTAATGCACAGAGGATTTGCTAGGGTGGTGAAATTATTCTATACAATACTGTAACAGTAAAACTATAAACTTAGACAGCTGGGTGTGGTGGCACATGCCTATAATCCCAGAATTTGGAAGGCTGGGCCAAGAGGATTGCCATGAGTTTGAGGCTATTCAGTGCTTCATAGTGAGTTCAAGGCCATTCTGAACTAATAGCAAGATCTTGTTTAAAACAAACAAAACCCCCCCCAATAACTATAATATTATGTATCTGAAGAGTCATATAACTGTGAAACTGAACTATATAGTAAAAAATCAACCAAAACATCAACAACAAAAAAAACATATGGGACTTAGCCAGGCATGGTGATGGATACCTATAATTCCAGCACTCTGGGAAGCTGAGGCAGGAGGTTGGTCGCAAGTTCAAGCCCAGTCTGGGCAACTTAGCAACATTTTGTCCCCAAATAAAAAAGGGCTGGGGACAATGTAGCTCAGTGTAAAGGCCCTGGGTTCAAATTCTATTACCGCAACAAACAAAACCAACATTAGCATCTTTCAAAAGATTTCTATGGAAAAGAAGGTACAGATAAAAGTATGGTAAAACTGTAGTAACTGATAAATATGGAATTCATTATATTAGTCTAATTATGTTTAAAATGGTTCAAACTAAAATGTTTCTAGAGATTTAAGTACTACTCATCTTTTATTTTTTAAAGGCAAGGTTTTGCTATGTAGTCCAGGCTGGCCTTGGACTTGTGGAGATCCTCCTGCCTCAGCTCCCTAGTGGCTGGGATTATACATATGTGCCACTACATCTGGCTTCATCTTTTACTTTTTTTTTTTTTGGTACCGGGGATCGAACTCAGGTCCTTGCACTTGCAAGGCAGGCGGCGGAACCACTGAGCTAATTCCCAGCCCTTACTTTTTTTTTTTGTGAGACAGAGTCTCACTTTGTAGGGGCAGTGATGGTATGTGCCATCATCTTTTACTTTTATTTAAGCATTTAAAGCAACAAGAAGCTAATTAATGTATGAGTTTCCTCCCTTAGCTAATTTTCACTGTTGTTACAAGCAAATACTTTCATAAATGGCAATTTATTAAGACAACTTCTAAGTGCACCATCTTCACACAGTTGAGGAAAAGAACCAAACACGAGGTCCAGTAAGTGCTACTCATTGAACAGTCTGTTTAGGGCCCTCCTCCACTCCTCTCTCCTCCTTTATGGAAAGTGGAGTTAATACCTTGTAGCACATGTGTCTGTGTGAGGACAGGGTTCGAAAAGAATTTTGTGAAAGTACTGAACAAAGTACAAGCTATCCACAGTCATCTTACTTAGCAGGTTGCCATATTTACCTTGACATCATTGTTTCCCACAGCAATCCCTATTTCCGCAAGGTCTTTCAGTAAAGACGCCATCATCTCAGCTGCTCTTTTTTTCTGGTGGTTGGTCATTTCCTTAAGTTTCTGAAGCTCAGCATCTATACTCACTAATGTTGCCTTGCAGAATTAAAAATAAAAAGTAGCATTAAACTATTAAGGAGATCAAATACTCTATTTTTAATGCAACACAGTGATTTTCAGTCAATGTATTTTGGTAGTGATGCCATCATTTTCAAGTGCTTGTTTCTTGTTTGGCTTAATTATCAGAAGGGTGTATGTCCACCCAGTTTAATCTACATATGATACCAGTCCCCTTGAAGCTCTCAAAACAGCATAAATGCTACTACTATAAATGTTCAAATTATAAGAAATTTTCTCCATTCACTAACAATAATATTATCTAAGCATATAAAAAGATTCTAAACACTAGGGGTTGCTAACTCCTATAGCAAAGGAGTGCTGATTTCGGCTCCACAATTACAACTGTCTTAAAGACCAAAACCCGCATCAATCTGCAGTTCTAAGAAAGTCCTGTTTTTCCACTAAATAGAAATCAGCTTTGCCAATATTATAACTCAGGTAAAGCTCTGTGGTATTAAACTGTAACTTCAAGCCAATTAACTGTTAACTTTGGAGATTAGAAAAGGAAAATGAACTGATCAGGGGCAGAAAAACTTTTAGGAGTGCTACTTTGTAGCTCTGAGTGCTTTCCTCTGTATAAGTGGACATAAATATGGAACTAGGTGGTGGGCAATGATCCCTAGTACAACCAGGTGATTTCTAAAGAAAAAGCAGGCATTAAAGACAAAACATAAGCAGACAGCTGATCAAGAGTGATACTCAAACAGTCAGCTTTCATAGACTACTGCTGGCATCACTGCCCTATTATAACAACACATAAAAATCTCCATCTACTAGAGAACCACAAGATTCTAGTCTGAGGTGAAGGCAACTATTCCAGGTTATGAGAATAGAACAGTGAACAAAACAAATTATATGAAGCTATACTATATATCCTTATGACTACTCCAAAAATTCACTTAAATAGCTTTTTATTTTGAACAATCTAATAGTTTATAGTAAACAACTAGGAGCTTTTAATTTGTTTTCCCTTTAACATTAAGAGTTACAGCAGAAAGAGCCAATATCTTTTAAAATACCATGTAAGGGGCCAGGGATTTAGCTCAGTGGCTTCACACTGCCTGCTACGCAAGCGCAAGGAACCGAGTTTGATGCCCGGTACCTAAATAAATACATAAATAAAATAAAATACCATGTAAGTTACTTATTAATAGACCTTTCAGATACCAAGAAGGTATCTCTATTTCTAAGACTTCATATACAGGAGGAACTACAGTTGAGACATGAGGCCTTTGAGAATAGATGCTATTAGTCACAGGCTTATACAGAAATAAGTTAACTTAAATAATTTTTCAATTAACATTTCTTGTCATGAAGTATTAAGCTAAGCCAAAACTATATCCTACCGATTTCTGATTCAATTCATCACTAAGCAATTCATATTGCTTAGTTTTATCTTCAACTTCCTGAGACTTCTGATCATAGTTGACAGCAAGTTCCTCCAAGGCCTGTAAAACTTCTTTTACTTCTTCTTTAGAAGCATCGTTTTCTGCTTGAAGGCGGTTCAACTCAGCTTGCATATTGTCTTGATCTCTTCTGGTAGATGCCAGAAGCTATTAAGAAAGAGTAAAGTATCCATTTTCACCAAAAGTATACAGGTTTAAAAAGAAAAAAAAAAATTTCCTTCATCACTCAATAACAGGCACAAGGGAAATGAAGCGTGGATGCTTCTAGGTGTGCCAACATTTATTCACTCAGCAGATTTATTGAGTATTTACTATATTGTAGGCATGATACCAGCCACTGTGGCAGATAGGAAATAAAATCAAGAATTTGCCTTTGAGGAATCTACAAAAAGAGAAGACATGTATGTACATAAATGTGCATGCAGTACAAGACAGAACGAAAGAGCTAAAAAAGAGAAACAGGACAGAAAAAAGAAAAAGGGAGCTATTTCCAGAGGGAAGTGAGAGAGAAAACTTGGATAGAACAGGCAAATTATAGCCATGTACCAATTAATATAAGAGGAGAAAAAGGTATTCTGGACTCATCAATAGTATACACAGAAATAAGAAACTAGATATTCAGAAGACTTGCTCAAAAGTTTAGATTTTCTTTGGAGAAGAGTGGCATCTGTGTTACGCCTTGGATACCCTAGTATCGGCGGGTGTCTAACTGGAGGACAGACAGGAGAGCAAGCACACGAGCACTGCCATCAGCAGGCCAGTGGCTTCTTAGTAAGGACACCTGAAAATGTGCACATGTTGGGTTTGGGGGAGCAGTGCTAGGGCCTTGTGCGTACTAAGCAAGCTCTCTCCTCCTAAGCTACATTCCTAGCCCTGTGGGAGTGTTGCTGAGAGTTAACAGCACTGAGGAATGGGGGGTCAGGGATACCAAATGTTCTGTAAGGTATAAAAGGAAAAAAGTCATCCTTCCCAAATGTAAATAGGGCCCTTTGAGAAACAACGCTGTAATTGAAAGAAGGGTAAGGATGAACACAATAGGATTAATTTCACTTATGGGTCAACCAGTGAAGATAAAGATGTAATTTTTTTTATACAGTGGAGTATCTGCCATAAAGGATGAGCTTCAGACATTTCTAGTTAAATAGATGCACCTTGAGACCGTACTCAAGTGAGATAAATCGGACCCATGTGTTTAAATATCAACCACACTGTTTCTCTGGTGTGGGAAACTGAAAGTGGAAATAAGGACTAAAATGTATGACAGATATTGGGAAATGGGAAGAAAATGTTCAAAAGGGAAGAGGAACAAGGGAGAAAAGAAAGAGACGTGAAAATAGAAGGAAAAATTGGAAATAAAGCTTTTGTACATAGTGAGAGGAGGGGCTTGAGGGAAGGAGGAAATGGGAAAGGAGGCAGGATGTATCATGTACAGGTCCAAATTCTCCATGGTAAGTGTTATCATTACATATGCCTAAAATGCACCAATAAGGGTTTTGTGAGGCAGGCGTGGCTTCTTGATTTCTTTTTTTTGATACCAGGGATCGAACTCAGGACCTTGCGCTTGTGAGGGAGGCGTGGTACCACTGAGCTAAATCCCAGCCCTAAATGTTTTGCTACAAAAAACCAAAAATCTCACTGATGGTGGTATCTTTTCCTACTGGCGCTGTACAATCTCTCATCCCAGGAAACTCAAATAAGGACCATTTTCTCAATTACCCACATGCAGTTCTTGCTGAGATTAAATCAGGGTCCAAATTAGGTGACAAGAAGGCAAAACAAATGTGAAAGAAGGAAGATGAAGATGGCAAACCAGACTGACTAGACATGGGGAGATACAGTGAAACAATGACATTCTCATTTCCAAACAAAGCTACCCAAAATTATACCATTATTAAAGACAAAGTCAGTGGGATTCAGAAGCCAGTATTTTTCTTTCTTACATAAAAAAACTGTGTTTCACAGATGTATTCCTTCATGCCTATGTGTGAACACTTCATGGAAGGGGAATAAGATGATAGCTGCATTTCAGGCAAGTAAAGTAGATGATAGTGTAGGAAGCCAAGAGATGTGTGTTACAGGAACGAATGCTTTTAAACAGATAAATTTTAAAAAGAAAAAAACCCCTTAAGTGAAAGTTAATCTTTGGTTCGATGACTCACTACATGGTATCACTCCCATAGAATATATAAAAATGAAGCATAAACATACTCAAAAATTTTAAATCATACTTAGTATATTGAGCTGTGTAAATTGTCTTTATACTTACATGACAAACTTTAAAACTTTTCTAAACATACTACGAAAAGTCAACTTACCTCTTCCTGATCCAACATTTGTGTCTTCAATTTCTCTACCAGTTGGCTCTGCTGGTTAATTTCTTCATCCTAGAATTTCAAAAGCATCCAGCTAACAAAGTAGCTCACAACTTGGCTTTGTTTCCCAAAACAAAATTTTAAATTACTACTCCAAACTATTCTAAACCTGTCTCTCTAACTCAATGTGGCTTACTCTAATCTTGAGAAAATTTGAAACAAGGGCCGGGGATTTGGCTCAGTGGTTCCGCCACCTGCCTCACAAGCTCAAGGTCCTGAGTTCGAGCCCCAGTAACAAAAGAAAATTTGAAGCAAATGATTTCAATGATCAATAATATTTTTATCATACAACAAAGCAAAAGGTTTCATTTATGAAAGCCATATTCATGAAACACTGCATTTTCCAAGACAAGGACTCGCTATGTTGTCAGGCTGGCCTCCAACTCGCAGGCTCAAGTGATCCTCCCACATCAGCCTGAGAGGGCCTGAGGCCTGTGCCACTGTGACAGGCTCCTCACAGGCACAGCGGTGATCAGCAAATGCACGGATGCTTAAACTACAGACTTTTTACAGTAAAAGACACATTGCCAAGAACAACAGGATAAGTGCGGTAACTTGAGAGGGATTGATGACAATGTATCTTTCACTGTAATAAAAATATCTGTACAAATTTAAGTACTCAATGTATTTTTAAATCATACCTTGTACTTTAAATGGTGAATGTTTAAAGCTATTATAGAAAGTGGTCACGTAGCCACTTCAAACCTGCCATCTCTGCTTAAAATACACTACCAAAAAAAATAAACTAAAAAACGAACTTAAAAACATTTTCCTGTACTCTCCTCGCTGCTCTTATCCCTATTAACTTCATAATTTATTTTTCAACCATTCACATTACTAATTTCAACAGAGTAAGAAGATATTGTTCCCATTCATCTCTTCTATCATATTTTATTAGAATCCTCAGATCCATGCTTCTAAGCGGTCACTTTATTAGTACTCTCCAATGACCCAATGCCAAATTTTCCTTAGAAAGTGTTTTTAAGCTTCAAAAAGATGAAAAGCCAGGCACAGTGGCACACACCTATACTCTCAGCACCCTGGGAGGCTGAGGCAGGAGGATTTCAAGTTTAAGCCCAAGCTCAGCCTGGGCAATTTAGCAGGACTCTGTCTCAAAATAAAAAAAATAAAGAGGACTCAGTGCAAAGGCTCTGGGTTTAAACGTCAGCAAACCTCTCCCCGCCACACAGAGAGGGTAGAGAAAAATATGCTTCCAAATTGTGTTTTATATTTTGTCAATATGAAATTTTAAAGGTTAATGGAAATCAAAGGAGGTATATGTAGATATACCCTAATATTGAAATGTGAAAAATAAGAAAAATACCTGTCAATAATATTCTAAAACAAAACATAAAATAAACAACACACACCTTGTCATCAAGTTGTTTGTACAATTTAGCAATTTCTTCTTCACACTTTCTTCTCTCTCCATCAGTAAAACTTCCAGTAACTCCAATCGTGGCTGCTGGTTTGTCATTGGTAATAGTAACATCCTTATCTACTGTGAAAGCTTCCATATTGGCTTTCTCTTTGTCAAACTGTTCATCAACAGGTACTGTCTCCCCTAAAACAGACAATTACATGGTTAATCTACATGTCTAAAAATTTCAGTTTTACTCCATTTCATGGTTTGTTCACTCTATATTATTTTGAAATAATGACTTCAAGTTCAGATTCTTCTGCTTTGGTTAGTTCTGCTCTTTGTGTTCCCTATTACATTTTTCATTTCTTTCCTCCCTCTCTTTTTGACAGTACTGGGGATTGAACCCCAGGCCTCACACATGCTAGGCAAGTGCTCTCCCCCACTAAGATTTAGTCCCAGATCCTTTGTTCATTGTATTTTTCAGCTCCAGGAATTCTTTTTTTCCCTGAATGTATCTGATCTGTACACCTGGGTTGTGCTGCCTGCAAATGTGCAGTAGCTACTTGAAAGCCCTTCTACAAGTTAGCCCACCCACAAATTCTAGGCAGGCTATCAGGTGTGGCAGTGAGGCCCACGGCCAGGTGGGACAGTGCTGGGGCAGGCCAGATGCTTGGGGCCCCGGAGGCCTGTGTGCTGCTGAGGGCTCTCCAGGTCCTGGCGCTGCTAAACCTGGAGACTGAGTCCATTTCACGGGCCTGAAGCCTTCCCAATGCTGGGCTTTCCTGTAGCAGGCGCAGTCAAGGTCCATGGCAAGAGCCAGCTCCCTGGTCTCTCTTTCTGTCCAAAAGGGCACTGTCTCGGGAAGGGGGCGGTGACGAGACCAATAAACTGTCCTGCCTACCCTCTGCTTTATTACTGGGCTACAAATGGGCACTGGTTTCTTGGTGCTTGTGAAGTCGCTTGTGTGTGTGAATAGTTATCCAAATTAATGCTTCTGCAGAGGGTGACGGCTGGAGTTCTACTCCACCACCTTGCTTTGTCCTCTCTCACTCCACTTCAACAGCTCCTATCAACTGTCCTGTCTGCTCACTGCCCGGGACCTGAATGCTTGCAATCACCTTTGACTGTCCCCAGCCTTTGATATCCAGTCAACAAATCTTGTCATTTTGTTGCTTCCACCCTTATCTGGGTACCCTGTCATGCTTTCACTTCCTAACCAGCATCTGTACTGTTATACTTATTTCAGGTAAAATCAAAATTAATGTAAAAGACTACATCTGAAAACGCCTAAATTCTTTAAAAATAAAAACTGAAATGGTCATGCTTTATCATTTTCATTTATGTTTCATAACAAAACCTTAAGTTTATAAAATAACTCTAAATCTGTATTCAACAGATGGAAGATGTCAAATTCTAAAGTTATTACCATTACGCCACCGATTGAGTTCATTTTCAAGCCACTGAATGGTGTTCCGCAGGGTCTTATTTTTTTCTTTCTCTTTTTCATACTTCTTTTTCCACTGTTCTGCAGTTAACTCTACATTGACACAAACTGTATTCTTAATTGTTTTGGCTCTAAGGTAATTAGAGGGGAAAAAAAGGATGTCTAGTTATCGTCTAGTTCTCAGACTGAATACTAAAAGCTGTAATGTATGTTTATTCACCACCCAACTAAATGTGATTCGTAAACCAACTAAATGAGTCAGCCATTTAAAATCTGTGAATAGTTAAAAAACGGGGAAAAACCCTACTGGAGAAAACAACAACAACCACCCCCACCCCCACCCCCACCCCAAGGAGATATACTTTCTCAATTCACATGCAAGGCTAAATTAAGAAAACAGAAGGTCAAAGACAAGGTCATCATTACTGATTTTCCTAACCATCTCATACAGATTACTGAACTTGCCAAGTCTGTCAACTGGCTTATTCTTATTTTCATTAGTGGTGAATTAAAAGTTTCTTATAGGGCCAGGGATTTAGCTCAGTGGTTCCGGTGCCTGCCTCACAAGTGCAAGGTCCCGAGTTCGATCCCCAGTACCAAAAAAAAAAAAAGTTTTTTATAAAAATTTAATTAGACTTTTATGTGTGTGAAAACTTAACTCAAACCCAAGTGGCTTAAAATATGGACCTAACTTGTATTATTTGTGTCTCTCAATTCAAAATATGTCCAGCACAGTAAAAACATGAACTAATTTGATCAGTAGGTATCTGACGTCGATAAATTTAACAAACAAAACCACAAATGTAATAAATTTTGTAATTATAAAAAACAAACCTTTGACCAAACAGGAGTGTAGATTTTGTTTCAGACTCATTATATGATGATGGGGAGCAGCAAATGACAATAGTGGTCCTACAGTTACCACCTAATGAGTCCTGAAGAATTCTTGTCATTTTACTATCTCGATATGGAACGTACGTCTACATGTAAAAACAGAAAACACATTATTCAATGGGTTTCTCTATTATAAAATAAGGTAATATAATCATAGTTATTTCACTTAGTTTAACTGCTTTTATTAAGATGTCAAATAGAATATACACACTAAAGACTAACATTGATTCAAAGACTGAATCCTTTGCTCATCTCAGCACTATATGCATCTATATTTAAATAAATCCCTAAAAAATAACAAAAATAAAGACATGACACTCACACTACCCTCAGCCAAAGCAGAAATGACATTTCCAAGAGCAGAAAGTGACTTGTTGATGTTCTTAGCTTCATCCAGCACAGCACCTTCAGCTCCAGTTTTACTAACCTATACATAAGATTCCAAAATAAAGAGACAAAATTAACTTCCAGGTGACTTTCTTTGAATTTTCTAAGAAATTTGTAGAGGTCATCAATAACCAGCAGGCAGAGAATATGAAAAAGCTTCACGATGTTTTTGGTCAAGCATTCACTCTAAGGGACTAATATTCCTTGAGTATGACTCTACTAAGAACTTGGTCAAGCAACTACTTGAATAAGAGTATGATAAAAGAAATATCAAATTTTATATTTAGTTCCTGCTCTTGAAAAAACACAACCTCCATGAAATTTGTAGTTCATTAATTGGTTAATCCTTTTGTTACACTGAAAAAGAGAAAGTTAAATGTTGACATTAAAAAATAGACTGAGTTTAATACTAGATGAGCAAACCTGCTTTTAAAAAAATGTAAAATGTCTACCCATGTTATAGCTAAGTTAGAATAGTAAGTAATGTTGGCTAAAACAATGATTTCTCAGAACGGCTGTTTTATGAAAGATGTGTATAAGACTTTTGAGTAGAAGAGCTGGATGTGGTGGCGCACGCCTGTAGTCCCAGCACTCGGGAGGCTGAGACAGGAGGCTCACCATGAGTTCAAAGCCAGCTTGGGCTATATAGTGAGTCAAGGTCAGCCTGAACTACAGAGACTGTGTCTCAAAAAAAAAAAAAAAAAAGACTTGAGTAGAAGAGAATAAGGGACATCATTTTAATTACAAGAAAGTAAATTAGGAGAATAGTCATAATGGTCAGATTCATATTTAAATTTCTAATATAAACTAGAATTATATTATATGGGACTATCATAGTGAAATAAACAAAAATAAGTACAACTGACAATATCCATAGGTTCATCCAACAGAGCATGGAAAATATTCAGGAAAAAGACTGCATTTGTACTTAACATATATAGACTTTTTGGTCATTATTCCCTAAACAAGAAAACATCCATTTATATAGCCTTCATGTTGTGCCTGGATTTAAGTACGTAATCTAGAGATGATTTAAAATATATAGGAGGATATGCATAGGTTTTATGTAAATACGGTGGTATCTTACATAAAGAACTTGAGCAACTGTGGATTTCAGTATTCACAGTGAGGAGGAGTAATGGTGGTAGTGGGGTAAATAATCTCGTATGGATACAGAAGAACAACCGTACAACCAAACCAAAAACTAAGGTAGTTACTAGTTTTAATCATTAGTATGTATAAAACAGATGCCAAAAATTAGGAAAGGATACTTTCGATAATTTATGATATATGCTGAATAAGTTCTTAAAACATATAACTTAAGTCAAAGATAGGACCTACTGGTTGAACAATATGGTCAATGACAATAATATGCAACAGAAAAATCAATTTATATAATCATAAAGCATTGGTAATGTTATAATTCTCAAACTACCAAATCAAAATTTCCAAGTTTTTCAGATACAACAACAAATAATCTGTAAGTCCCAATTCAAGGTGAAGTTTAAAAGCACAACTATTTATCAGAATATATACTTACCTTTTCACTACCAGCTAAATCAACCAGATAAAGTTTTCCACTCAGCTTTTGCTCTGTCTGTGTGTTTTCTTGTTTTACATTAATAAGAAATATACTGTGACTCCTAGAGCTGTGTTCATTCATATCTGCAATGAAATTACACAAGCAACTATAAGCATGGCTCCCCCCACACTTTCCCTAAAGCATTATTTTACACAAGTCTGTGATGAGTAAAACGGATAAGAATATCTAGTTATTCTCATCTTCTCAAGGATGTAAATACTGATTTATTAACTAATGTTAATAAATATACTACTTACTTGTAACTGCTACATGTCTGTTGGATTTTCCTTCATCTATGGTATCCATAACTTCATCTGGACTACATACAAAACGTTCCGTGCACCCCTGTGAAATAATTACTTTTAAAAGTTTGTACATATCCTTTAAAAAATTACAAGGCTTTCCAAACAATCATTCTGTTATTTTATGTGTACCTTTACATAGGGAACTCGGTTTTTGTCTTCATGAACTGAAAGGTTGGTCTTTGAAACTGAAAAAGAAAAATAAATAGTACTATTAACACTGGCTGTAAAATAATACAATTGACAAGTTTCCTCTAGCAGCTGAATAATAGTCAACTTTTAAAAGATACGAAAATACTGCTACTAAAGCAAGACCTTGTAGACATAGATTGAAATAGAAACCAAACAGCAATATAGAATTTTAGGTTCACTCCAATCTCTACCATTCATATATTATAAATAAGAACATCAACATAAAATGTCCTATCGCTCACTGGTTTGCCCTAAGACAACATATCTGAGTAGAACGTGGGCTGAGGCTCTCTAAATCCCTAATGTTCTAATGCTCTAATTATTGCTGAAGAAATAGCCATAAATATATTCTTTACACAAGTTACTCTATGTATCAAAAGATACTCAAAACTGTTAGGGGAAAACAGCTGAAGCCATAGGCATGTGCACAGACTACCTGAGTAGGACTCCAATAGGATTATATCAAATTCAAAGGCTTCTATACAGCAAAGGGAAACGTCAACAGAGAAAATCTTTGCCAGCTACTCTTCCAACAAAGGATCAATTACTAGAATGTACACAGAATTCAAGAAAATTAATACCAAAAAAAAAAAAAATCAAATGGGCAAATGAACTGAATAGACACTTTTCAAAAGAAATACAAATGACTATAAGAAATATAAGAAAAAAATGTTCTACATCTTTAGCCATTAGGGAAATAAATATAAATCAAAACTACATTCTTACCCCAGTCAGAATGAGTATCAGAAATACAAAAAAATAATAAATGCTAGTGAGGAGGTTGAGAAAAAGGAGCTCTTTTACACTGCTGGTGGGAATATAAACCAGTACAACCACTATGGAAATCCATATGGGAGTTTCTCAAAAAACTAGGGCAGGTATCATTTGATCCAGCTACACTACTCTTCAGAATATTCTCAAAAAAATTAAAGACATTATTCTATAGTAATACCTGCATTCCCAGTTACTGTGGCACAATAATAATAGCTAAGCTGTGGGGACAGGCTAGATGTCCATCAATAGATAAATGGATAAACAAAATGTGGTATGTGGTATATATACACCATGGATTATATAGCCATAAAGAACACAATTATTTCAGGAAAATGGGTGGAATTAGAGACCACCAAAATCCTCAAAGTTAAATATGGCATGTTTTCTCTTATTCAAGAAATCTAAGGAAGGGGGAAAAAAAGAGTTGACAGCAAAGTAGAAGGTAAACTACTAGAGATAAAGAAGGGGATGGGGAAAGGAGAGGGATAAGGACAATGAATGGTGAAAGCCAAACTATATTACATGCATATAGCAATACACTAAAATGAAATCCATTATTCTGTACTAATAATATCCACTAATAAAGGTATTCCACTAAAACTTCAAAAGAAAAGATTTAAATGCCCATTTCCTATCATCTATGTCACTTTCATATACATTACCCCCAAAAAGGTCTCATATCTAATACTAAAAAAAGCAACAGACACTATTTTAAAAAGATCAAAGACTGCCAGACGTGGTGGTGCAGGCCTGCAATCCCATCACTGGGGAGGTTGAGGTGAGTTCTATGCCATCCTGGGATACACAGTGAGACCCCGTGACTCAAAAAACAAAACAAAAAATTCAAAGAACAAGATTTAACTTACCATCTAATAGGTCCCTTATCTTATCCAGATATATTTCAAAATATGAAACCTAAAGAACACAAAAGGAAAAAAGATCAACTCATTAAATTATAAAATAGCTTATTCACTTAACTCATTAAATATTTAATGAAGCTCAGATACCATTTGATCCAGCTATAGAATTCTTCAGAATATGCTCCAAAGAATTACAGACAGTATTCTACAGTAATCCCTGCATACCTACGGTTATTGTGACACAATCAGTGCCAGGTACTGTCTAGACCAGTGATGGCGAACCTTTTGCTGCAGCATTATGTGCCATAGGTTCACCACCACTGGTCTAGACTGAGGAAAGAATCACAGATACATCAGGCATAGCTCACATTTTAATGGGAAAACACAAATTAGCTAAACTGTTTAAATAACTACAGTTAAAAACAATTTCCATTTCATAGCTTCATCTAAAATAAATTAGACTAGTTAGTAGTAATAGAGGAGTTTTGGGCCAGGGATTTAGCTCAGCGGTGCTACGGCTGCCTTGCAAGCACAAGGTCCTGAGTTTGATCTCCGGTACCAAAACCAAACAAAAAAAGTAATAGGAGTTCTGTATTAAAACAAATTTCCACAGAGAAGGGAGCTAAGGACAGACTTCAATACGATAAGTCCCTGACTTAACAAACATTTGAACTGCAAACTTTCAGATATGAATGGATGTATATGTGAACAAATCATGGAAGCAGAGTGTGTAGGACTCACTTTGTTGGACTTATGAATGAATCCAACTTAACGAATGTTTTCCCAGAATGGAACTTGTTCGTAAGCCGCATTTTACTGTAACTTATTTAAAGTTGTCTAGTGGCAGAAGAACAACGGTCAAGGTCACTAACCCTAAAGATCTTTCAATTGCCATCTGTCCATAAAATAATTTTTTAAAAATTACCTTAAGAAAAGCAAATAGCATTACTGTATTTTAGGAAAAAAAATTATTGTAAAGTGTAAAATAAAATACAAAATCTTTTCCCAAGGAATTTACCTTAATATGAAATTCCAAATTTTCATCCATGGAGTAAATATAATTAAAAATATCTTGCACAATTCTTGGGATAATTCCCATGCCTTCTGGATCATGAAGCTTACCCTATACAGAAAAAACACACAAAAAACCTAGACTTCTTATATCCTAAAATATGAATTAAAAATGGAAACTTTCAATCTGTAAATAACTAGTACAGGACAGGAATTGTAATTCTTAGTGAATATCTTTACAAACACCTTAAAAAAAACAACCCAATTCAACTAATATTCCTTAACAATGTACATCAACTACATGATTCATCAATTTATCTTAGCTCTTTACTTGATTACTAGATTTATATTATCTTTGCTTGTAAAATGAACATATATGAAATGGTTTTAGTCTCTTTCTACATAAATGTGGATTGTTCCTTCTACTTCTAATTAAATTCATGCAAATGCTTGAAATGTTTCCATTCTCTATTTCTTAATAAAAATGAGCAATAGACATTTCACAAAAATGTTTATAGTGTACTTTATATAAAACACTTAGATAAATGATAAAAGCCCTGCAGCTGTGGCAGATCACAGGCTGTTGTCTGGAAGCAAAGTTAGAACAGGCCACATCTGTTATTAATAGCAGCACTTATAATTGTGGCAACACTTATCAGAGAAGTGTAGTAGATATTTCAAGGGAGAGGGGACCTAGGAATGGAGGAAAAAATTAATCACCTTGAATAGAACATACAACACCTAAGAACCCAAATTTTCCTGTGACGAAAACACTACTTCTCAAATGTTCATTATTTTGTGGTTATGCTAACCTGTAACACAAAGTCATATATAACTTCAAATACAGGGTATCCCATCACTATTCAAACTCAGTAACTAGGTTCCACTAACCATGTTACTTGTATATTATATATATGAGAAAGAGTATATATGGATGCTTAAGCATGGTAGAATGTGGTCTCTAATACTGAAAGTCTTGTCTACACTGCAACTACATCAAAGGACAGATTATAAACGTTACCTCCATCGTGTGTGTCTTCCCAGAGGATGTTTGTCCATATGCAAATATTGTTCCATTGTATCCTTCAAGTACATCTATGAGAAAATAAGGGGAATATTCTTCTTAAACAAGATTCATAAGTTAACTTAAGAATATTGTTCAAGGAAAATATCATGTTTAACCTTAGTGAGGTATAAATCACTCTAAAAAATTTCACAAACACAAACCTCTTCCTAGCCCACGAATTCTGAATTACACCTATTAAAATATTTGTGGGAAGGATGGTGAGAAAGATTCAGATTTTCTCTACAAAATATAAAAGTCCATCAAAGTAAAAGTTCAGGACAGAAATGATTTATAGACATTAAAGGATATAAATATATTTAATAATAACTTTTAGTGATGATTCATCTAAGCAATTACTTCCAAGGCCAATTTAAAAAATGTGAAAATTGCTTATACCAACCATTTATCAATGTACATCTTTTTTTTTTTTTTTTGGTACCAGGGATTGAACTCAGGTCCTTGAGCTTGCGAGGCAGGCGGCAGAACCACTGAGCTAAATCCCCGGCCCTATCAATGTATATCTTAAAGGTCATTACATAGGAATTCCAAAGCTTTATATGTGACCTAAAATATTTTTTATGTTCAAATATAGTTTTTGGTAATAGGACTAATTGGTAGTTAACTAATGGCTAAACCTCAGAAACCCATAATTTCCTCCTTATCCCAACAAAGCACAACATAGTCTACCTAAAAATCAATTATCAGAATGTTCCTGGGAAATTGCAAAAAATATCTCTTCTAGCTCTTGGTGTACCCTAAGATCTGCTATAAGACTCAAGTATCCTCCTTTAGTATGTCAAAGGGAGTAAAAGAGAATGTGAGTGAACAAGATGACCTTGTGGTTTTCTGGAATTTTGCTTGTTTTTTGTTTTTATAACAAGAAAGGTATTATGAAATTAAGAACAGGCTCTGTTGCTAACAGCAGAGGGTTAACAGCAGAAAGTAGAGTAGTGAGTCAATCCTTGTTATAATTTGTTATTTTAAAAAGGAAAAGAAAAAAGAAAATCTCAACACTGGGGATATCCAACTAGATAATAAATTTCCTACAAGAAATGTTTATTAATGAGAAAAAGGCAGCATTACTTACTTCTCTGGGAAGACTTGAAAAGACTCTAAATTTAGAGCTTTCCTTCAAAATCTTTTTTATTTTTAAGAAGGGACGCAAAATCATTTCATGAATCACAATTACAACAGATGGGATTGCAAAACTTTTGCCAGCAATTCTGAAGAAATCATCTGGGAAAAAAAAATACTAGCCCCATTCCAATTCACTTCCTTTACATAAAACCATTCTCAACATACCTATTCCATTTTCTGCTTAAGATATTTTAATCAATCACATAAAATCTAAGCATACAATTCAAATTTCTGTTAGATCTTTAAGAGATCCTATCACAGTATGACCCAATTACCTTGCCATTACAACAGTAAATTTTTTGTTGGTGAATCACTTGCCCTAGGTGAAACTACACAGCACTGTGAGGCCATTAAGTGTATCCATGTAACATGTGAAACTTCAAGCAGATCTGAAAGTTTCACATGATTAAAAAGATTATGGAATTGTAACACTGCATCTACCGTACAAATTCTAGGCTTTTTTTTGGTGGGCGGGGGGGACCGACGATGGAACTCAGGACCTTGCACCTTGTGCTTCCGAGGCAGGCATGGCACCACTAAATGAAATCCCCAGCCTTGGCTCTGCTTTGTGTATAGGAGATATGACTGATAAAGTGATTTCTAGATACCCATTTATCAACAAAGTAATAGCATTTTATCAATTAGAAACAAAGCCATCCTTCAGTACACAATTGGTTCCAGGACCTTCCACAGCTATCAAAATCCAGATGCTCAGGTATATTACATAAAATTGAAGTTTTTGCAAATAACTTTTATCTATGCACATCTGCCCATAAATCATCTTCAGATTATTTGTAATGCCTATCACAGTGCCAGTACTATATAAATAACTCATGTATTTTTTAGGCCATAATGAGGAGAAAAAGCAGATACATGTTTAGTATACATACAGCCTTTTTTTCTTCAGTTTTTTGTCTTGTTTTTGCAGTACTGGGAATTGAACCCAGGGCCTTCACACTACATCCCTAACTACATCCCTAACATCACCATCCTGCCCCCTTTGTAATTTTTAGATGGGTATCAATTTCTAAATTGCCTAGGCTGGGCCTGAACTTACAATCTTCCTGCCTCAGCCTCCCTAAGTGCTGGGATTACAAGCATGCACGACCATGCAGGCTATTTCGAGTATTTTTGCTCTGAGACTAGATGCAGAATCCATGGATACTAAGGACCAACAGTAATCGCTTTCCCCATTTTCAAAGCTATTCCTCACTTTGTTTTCTATAGTGATTTCAATCCAAATACTTTATTATAAAAATTTAACATCTCTATTACTTTAATGTTTGTATTAATCATGTATCTATCCATCCTTCTATCTACCTTTCTTTAGAAATTTCATTTCAGAGTAAACTGCACACATCAATACACTTCAGTACACTTCTACCTAACACTTCAGCATCCATATATCACTAACTAGAGTTTGGTATTTTACATTTTTCTTTTTAGGTAAAATGTACATACAATGAAATGTGGATATCTTAAGTACGTGTGTTCTCAAACATACAAACAATACTTCTTTGAAAACCCTAGACAATACACATCTGTAAACAGATAAAATGAGGTATTTTGACTTAGCTCTTCTCTACTTTCTTCAGCTCCATCCCCCACCATCCTTCCTCTCCTCACACTGCTGTTTTTGTCGGCCAAGTGGTCAAATCTAACAATTTCACATGGTTCAACCTCAAGTCATATCACAGATGCATGCCACTCCCCACGCATGCAATACACTCTTCTCACACGGGCACGGCGCCATAACGCCAGGCCCCATCACTCTGCCCAGAAGACCCCTTTCTTCTCCTTCCTGCTCTTTCTGTATCCTTTAAGACTACAGGCTCGACTCCTTCTAACCTAACTCTACAACCTGCCCTACATAAACACGGGCAAGGAAACATTTCATCCTGTGTTCTTATAGTACTGTAGCTCCACTTCACCACAGTACTGAGTATTGAACTATTCATTTCTTCATCAGCCTGTGAAGTCCTCAAGGTCAGGATTGTGTTTAACTGCTAACCCAGTGCCTGGCATTCGGTAAGAATTTAAATGCTTGTTGAATGAATATTACCATCACTAACACATCTCTCTAAAGCTTCCTTCCTCTTTTAAAATATACTTTTGTTCTTTTGAGAAACAGAGGTAGACAACTGTGGATCAGTATTACTTCTCTTGATGCTCTGGAGAAACATAGCTAGTGAAATAGGTCATCACCTTCTAAGTCACTTATCTCTCTGAATTTTAGCTTGTCAGCAAAACGTCTGCCTACACATGAGAATCAGAATCATCATATAAGATTACTATTACTGATATCTGAGCTTACAATACGCCAGGCTGTAACCATTTTCCATATATTAATATAATAAATCCTCACAAAACCCTAGTCAAGTAAATATATGGCATTCTACACGGAGAAAACCCAAAAGATGGACACAGCGACAGACAGCCCAGGTCAGGAAGCCACGGTGGGAAACCAGCAAATCTAAGAGGGCCTGACAAATAACAGACATTAAAGAAATGACATCCCCCCCACCATAGGGCTGGGAATTTAGCTGAGTGGTTTTGCCGCCTGCTGCACAAGCGCAAGGACCCAAGTTCAACCCCCAGTACCAAAAAAAAGAAAGAAAGAAATGACACCCCCCCCCCTCCAAAGTGCAATCACTTGGCACTGCCTGCCTTGCAAGCACAAGGTCCCGAGTTCCATCCCTGGTACAAAAAAAGAAAGAAATGATAACTAACTCCCCCCACTACTTTACGTAGTACTAAGGATTGATGCCAGGGCCTTCTCACTGAGCTACATGCCCAGTTTTGTTTTTTCTTTAATATTTTGAGACAGGGCCTTGCTAAGTCACCCAGGCTGGGCTCAAACTTGCAATCCTCCTGTCTGTCTCCCAGCGTCCCAGGATTATAGGCACGTCCACTCTGCCCAACTAAATAACAACTACTAAATATAGGGGAAACAAATTCGCAGAACTCCACTCAGATTCTGAATTTACAAGAGAACACAAGTGGGCAAACTTTGTTTAAAAAATTCTATCTAATGAATCTACAAAACCAGAAAGGTAATAGTCCTATAATAAAGCTACATTCTCATACAGTAATTTATGAATCAATATAACTTCAGTGGACTGTCAGGAATGTTTCTAGGTCACTCCTGGCAGCTTGCTTGACAAATTCATATCTCACAAATCCATGTGGCCCATCATTTGGCTGATCCTGCCCACCAACAGATTCTAATGATGGCCTCCCAACTACTCCGTCTACCAATGACTGTCCCAAGTCCACCCTGCCATACAGTTGACTTCCTGTCCTCCACTTCTCTAGGCACCCATCACCTACTCCCATAACATCTTTTTCCTTAAATCTGTGTATTCACTGATAACTAAAATAGCAAGTTTCTGGGTGAAGACAAAAGGAGAAATTATAGCCAGGCTATACTGTACTGATATAAATTGTAAATCTGGCATAGAAAAGGAAAAAAGAGAGAGTGAAACCTTTTATTCTACCTCTTGCTGGAAGTCTAACTTCATACAGTGGAAATATTTCAGATACGAGTTTCTCCCAGATACAATGACAGCAGATTTAATAGCTAACACTTGCTGCATGCTTAAATCCTCACAATATGCCCTATTTGCAGAAGAGAAAATGGAGACTTAGGTAAGGTACCTTCATCAAAAGTCACACAGGCAGAAAGTGACAGCCTAGATTTCAATCTAGGCCGATTTCAAATCCTATACTCTTTTTCTTCAGAGACAAGCTTTCACTATGTAGTCCAGGCTGACCTGGAACTCACCATGTATCATCATGCCTGGCTCTAAGGCATATAAGTCTATATTCTTTTTTTTTTTTTTGGTACCGGGGATCGAACTCAGGTCCTTGCGCTTGCGCAGCAGGCGATGAAACCACTGAGCTAAATCCCCGGCCCCAAGTCTATATTCTTAATTATACTGCAAAGAAGGGAACTACTGTCCTGAACTCAGTTCTAAACAGTAAGACAGGAACAAGCTGGTAAAGTAGAAGGGACTAAAATTTTGAGAAAAGGAGGGAATTTCAAGAAACAAGTTATGTCATCTCAGAAACATAAAAAGTAGTGTCAGGCATGGTGATACATGCCTATACTTCTAGCACTCGGATTGCTGGGCAGAAGGATTACTGCAAGTTCCAGGCTAGCCTGGGCTGGGCTACACAGTGAGCTCAAGGCCAGCCTGAACTACATAGCAAAATACACACACACACACACACACACACACACACACACACACACACACTGCAAAACAGAACAAAAGTAGTAATACATGTACCCTAGCTATCCAGAACAATAGATTTCAAAGAGTTCTGAGAAAGGAGTCATGAGCTATTATTAAGACTCTATCAAGCAAGATTTCAAAAGAGATAAAAATCACCAGAATAGTACGAGAAAGGTAAACAGCCAGAATGTTTTACAAAGCAAAATAGAATAAAACTAAGGCCCTAAAAAAGTTTTGAAAGCCATATCCAGATAAAGAAAACTGAAAGAATAAACTTGCATTGCTTAAGAAAGATGGTAACTTGTTAACTGATGCTCCTAAGAAAGAACTATTCTTATTTCATTACCACCTTCCACAAACATGTTCCTCAAGAGAACAGAATAAAACACTGTTGAGAGAGACTTTCAGGCTGGTGTGAGTAGAATGACAGCAAAAAAGCACATCTGAAACAAGTCCAAACTTTTAGTTATAAAAGAGAATTACATGCCAGGATTAAAAATCTCCCAGTTGTTTTTTTCTAAACAAGATCTTGCTATGTAGCTCAGGCTGACCTTGAACTCATGTTGATCCACCTGCCTCAGCCTCCTGAGTGCTGGGATTATAGGCATGCGCCACCATGCCTGCCTAGCTGCAAATTATTATACTCATTTTCAAAACTTGAAAAATAAATTATGGAAATACAGACCAGTATACCAAAATTTCACTAAAGAAAAAGTAAGTTTTATTTCCTCTCTGACTAGGGTCATTCATCTGGTACTTTTGGAAAATACCAGAATCGTGCACCATGATTTCATAAAAAGATGGAAGTTTTTCATTATTATTTTACGAGTATGTTCACAAACTAAGAACCAGGCAATTGTATAAGAGGCTCTGAAGCTGATCAAAGTCCCAGTGAGCTTTAGTTAACTGCCAACACCTTATTTAGTTTTTAGACGTCTACAGGGAGGGGAGGGGGGCTTGAGAGAAGGTGGGGAATGGGAAAAGAGCTGGGAGGTATCGTGTACAGGTGCAAATTCCCTGTGATGAGTATTATCATTATGGCCATCTAAAATGTACCAATAAATGTTTCGCTATTAAAAAAAAAAAAAAAAGACCAGGACTCATTAAGAATTTTATTACAAATGGCTCAACACCATATAGACTTATCAAATATGCTCACAGCTAAGGTAATAGATCCCTAGTAAAATAACCATAAAACTAAAATATGAGGTGCTAAAATGAGGGTAGACTCTACAAGGCTTGTACTCCAACATGCAAGTATGGGGAGAGGTTAGGTGGCCCGAGTTCATGAATCAATCACTTACTTGAAAAGCTAACGTGGGCCGGGGATTTAGCTCAGTGGTTTTGCCGCCTGCTGCGCAAGCACAAGGACCTGAGTTAAATCCCTGGTACCAAAAAAAAAAAAAGGAGAATACTTAAAAAGCTAACATAATTTTTAGCTGTACTGATGACAAAAGTATGTCACAATCACAGAAAATACTATGCTCTGTAAAGATCCATTTGGAAAACTATTTGAGGCTTACCATATGTTTGTTCTTTGTTGCAGTCTTACAGAATCTTAAGATAATTCCCTCTCATTTTATGACAACATCAACACAAGGTTCACTGTCTCTCACCAATACCATTCCTGTTGTAATTCTTGGTGGTTTCAATGTCCATGTAGTAGATATCCTCACAAAAACACCCTAGCCTCTCAGGTTCCTGACCTAATTTTTTCTACAATGGTATCCTTTACTTCAGATGTCAACTCTGTGATGAGATTCTGACATTTTCACTACTAACTGCCCTGCCTCCAAAATCTCAAATTTAAATATTCACCTTCTATTACTTCTTCTAGTGCTCCAATTCCAATGAACCTTTACCCTTGCTGAGATGTATAAACCACTATGTATTTTTCCACCTTTTTTTCACTGCCTCTGTCATGTCCCCTTTTCTGAAACTTTCCACCTTAGGTTCCATAGTTTGCCATTATAATCACTCCCTTGACAATATCCTCAATTTCCTTGCCAGGCCAAACTCAAAATGGATATATTTAACTTCTGGCAGCTAAGTAAAAGCTGACCCTTGATGTTGCCTGACAATACTGCCACTGCCCCAATCCATCCATTTCATGCCTTTTCCTAGAAACTCTTCCCCTCCTTCACTCTCTGTGGTGATTCCGATTCTTGTATCAAGCACAATATGAAATTAATGTTTAAAATGTTCATTTTCCCTTCATCACGCTTACTTCTATTTATAAATTCTATTTCCTCTTCTGTTACCAGGATGAATTATCTGTGCTCCTACTTACCCCTAACCCATTCACTTTCATATGGAATCTCAAGCCCTTTAATCTGGTAAATGCCACAAAAAAAGATTTTTGCTTCAATCTTAAGAAACACTTTTAAAACACTCAGTTAAAAAATGAAGTCACATAATAAGTAGCTACTTAACTATAAGATCCCTTTGATAAAAAGAAATTTATATCATAACTAGACAGTAATTCCAGATAATCACTAGGTACTTTCTCAGAACTAGACTTCTATGGTTTTAGAAAATACAAAATTGAATAACAGCCTAGTGTTAGTTAATAGTATTAAGTAGAACATACATTACTTTTCTCACCCTTGGCAACCCCTGCTAAATTCCTCAAAGGTTTCTCTGCTGATTCCAAGATAAATCTTTTGGGAAGAAAGAACAATGGGGTGGAAGAATTATAGGCTGCCACTACTTTTTACAAACCAGTCTAGCCATTTTATTTTCATTCTCATACTGTTCTATTCGTAGAATTTCTACCTTGGAAACTTTCCTAGGAATATGCAACAGAAATGCATCTTTCAAGAATAAGCCTGTAACATAAATCCTATCAGTACCCTTCTTTAGGCACTGTACATAATTAGGCATGATATTTGAGCAATATAGTATGTTTAAGAATTGCATTTGTGGGGCCAGGGATTTAGCTCAGTGGTTCCGCCGCCTGCCTCACAAGTGCAAGGTCCTGAGTTCGATCCCCGGTACCAAAAAAAAGAATTGCATTTGATAATTTTATTATTTGAACTTTCTTCTGCAATTAACTTAGATGGGGTATTCAAATGTTAAGTGGGAAATATTACCAACTAAATTTTACTTATTGCTGGGACAGTAAGTAAACTAAGTGCAGCAGTTAAATATATTCACCTTTAACAATCTTCTTTGCACAGTCGTTGTATACTTGTTCTTGAGATGTGCTTGACTGGAATACACGATCAAATGCGTAAGGCTTGGACTGAAAAATAGTAACAAAAGTGAGTTAATTACACAAACTAAAAGTGAATGGGTATTTCTAAGCTCCTTAAAATATGCTATCATATATATACCTTCAAAAGAAAATACCAAGTATGCATCATTTTGTATCATTTTATCTTTTGGGTGGGAAGGACTCACGCACAAATCCCTTAGAACAAACCCCACAAAAATAAAAATGTTTGGGCCAGGGACTTAGTTCAGGGGCCAGAGATTTAGCTTAGTGGTTCCAGAGCTTGCAAATGCCAGGTCCCGAGTTTGATCTCTGGTACCAAAATAAATAAGTAAATAAATAAATAAATAGAAAATAAAAAATAAATAAAAGCCTTTGCTTTAACCTCTGTGGTAGTCCCATGGTCTATTACAGTAATTATACATATTGTTCCTGTGGTACCCCTAAGACACTGCTGAGTGAACTTTTAAGAGTGCCTACTCTGGTATGCAGTCTGTTTTCAATACTAATATTATTGTGTAGATAACGAAACACTCTGACAGTTACAAAATTCATTCATGATACATTAAAGTTCAGCCCTGTTTCCAGTATTACATCCAGCCTTTCAGTTTACTACAACAGCTGTTTAACACGCTAGAATGATGACCAAGACAGATTCTTTAGATGCTTTAGTGGAACTTAAGTAACAGCAGGGCAGACATTAGCCAAAAAGTGACGAGAATTCTGACTAATGTAATTGGAGTGCTATGACAATGCTGTGAGAGGATATAAAAGAACCTGAGTCTAGAGCCTGGACTACATAATGAGTTCAAGGCCAGCCTGCACTACAAAGCCAGATCGTCTCAAAAAAAGAAAAAACAAAAACAACAACAAAAAAACCAAAAAGAAATGTTTAAAAGCCAAAGAGTAAGTAGTGCCTAGCTCACTATCACTCTCCTCATACTAGTCATGAAGGAGTGGAGGTACTGTGAGAAAGCAGTCTAGGCTTCAAGAAAAGGACGCTTAGAGATCCCAAGGCAGAAAGGAGCTAACAGCATTCAAGAAACTAAAGGTGTTGTTTAAGTTTAAAATACAAGAACAAAATGCAAATGTTAAAAAAGGAAAATAATATCTTACTTTGAAAATAGTGTGAGCTTTGTGAATACTCCTGAAAACATCTTGGTGACTCCCTAAACCAGTCTTAAGAGAACTACTGATATAGTCTGAGGAGCCAGAGGCATAGGATGAAAAAAATCAGAATACGATATCCATGTAATAAGACAAGGGAAGAAGAGAACAGTGAGGTCTAGACAATACTGAGAAGTATCCAAAGGCAAAGGTCAGGTTGTAATAGGTCAAAAAACCAACCAAACAACCCCAGAAGCAACCAAGTAGAGCAGAAAATTTGGTTGTGGTCTGAGAAAGATCTTTTTTTTTTTTTTGATGGAGACAAGTTTAAATGCTGAAAGAAAAACCTAATGATCTAGGAGAGAGAATGAGCTTCTAGAGGTAAGAGAAAGCAGGCAGTTCTAGGCATTTGTATATCTGGCTGCTATCCACAGTTTCTTCTAAAGGGAAGGAAGCTGGCCTCTAAAACATAAAAAAAAATCATGACCCACATCGAAAAGAGCCCCTTATAGTTATGCTTCCTAGATCTTAAATGAAAAAACAAAGACAAAACAGAACTTTTTAAGAAACTCTCAGGTCAGGGATTTAACTCAGTGGCACCATGCCTGCCTCCTAAGTGCAAAGTCCTGAGTTCGATCCCCAGTACCAAAAAAAAAAGAAACTCTCTTATAACCTCCCCAAAACTGGAAGTAACAGTTAAAATGAAGCAAAGACTCCCTGAAGGGCCATCCAAAGCCATTCCCAATTTCCCATTCCCACTGGAAGGCTAAATCACCTGAATCAGGACAAGTATGATCATGCAAAATCAATAGCTAAAGACTGAATATATGAGTTAGGGTCCTAGAAGTAGTAACAGTACACTTTTAGCTATGTGAGAAAAATAACCCCTTATTTATTTAAATCACTATTATTTGTTTGGTTTCCTCTGCAGCTAGAAGCATTCTAGCTGGATACATATACTGTACTAAGACGACTTCATTTTGGCATGAATTTAAAACGTCATCAATATCCAATTAACTATGATATACATGAAAGTACTCTTTTGCTAAAATCCCATTGATATATTAACATTCAAATTTACAGGTGTGGTTTAAAAAATGACCATCTTATTTACTGATTATACAAAATTCGTTCATAAATAATATTCCAAAACCAAATGGATACACTCAAAATAACAATCACCATCCACAGATAAACCATGCAAATAGTTTTTCTATTTAAAAAAAGGTAATTTTCTCTCTTCATTTAACCAGCAAACACTTATTTAGTAACTATAAGATACTGTGGGTAAGTAACACAATTTCAGAAATGATATTTCATCAGTACAGGCTACAGAGTCCAAAGAGTAATTAAGGATTAAGACTGGATAGAGCCTTGAACACTGAGCTAAAAAGGTGATTAAGTAATGTTCACTGAATTGAAATGGAGTCAGCCTTGATCTGGTAAAGAGAGTGCAACTAGCTCAGATATACATATATTAAAAGATGTATAAAAATGGTATGAAAGCAAAAATTAAACAATGATTAATTCTACTACTGCTTGCAAGAACCAACTTAAATAATAGAAAACAGGTAAAAGGATTAAGACAAATCTTCCTCCAAAATAAGTTAAATAAAATCCTACTAAAATAAACATTTAAAGAACATTACTACTAGACTTTATGTCAATTCTCACATCGATAACAAACAATACTCCTAAAGCATTTACAAAGATATACACAATAGTAAGGGCAATAGTAAACCCTGCCTCAAAAGAACTTAACCCGACTGTTTACTCTAGCACTATCTCATAGCAAACAGGCAAAACTACTTCCACAACCTTACTAAAATAATGTGAATGGCAATGATTAAAAGGCAACACAAACATAAAAACGAGTTCGGACTGAGTGATTTTTTTGGAGTTACTTAATTATTAAATTAATGCTAAGTACTTGTTGTTAACATGTAGTCATCTTAATTGCAAAACTAAATTTTAGTTTTATGAAGTAAAGTAAATATTTTGATTAAAGATCTAGTTCCTAACTGCTCCAGGCTTCCTGGAATGAAAAGATTTTGTGAGGGCCAGGGATTTAGCTCAGTGGTTCTGCCACCTGCATCACAACGCAAGGTCCCAAGTTTGATCCCTCGTACCAAAAAAAAAAAAAATTCTAATGGCCTATAATTAAGGCGGAATTCAATCTTTCAAAATAATTAAACAAAGGAAAATTAGACTTCTGATTATCTGTATTTTAAAAACTTGGTTCTTTTTTTTTTTTTAATTTTTAGTACATATTTGCAGTTGATAGTGATTACACTCATTGCAGGGAGTTGGCACAAGTATGTAACACATCTTAATTTTTAATTTTTTTAATGATCTTTTAGTTATTTATTTTAAAGAAAGCATAAACATTGTATATTAGTATGGAATGTCAGCAAATCCACTCTTCATCCTTTATTCTGTAATTTGAGACCTTCTACAAAATACTTTAGGATTCCCATTACTGAATACTATGAACAAATCTCATTTTGACTAAAAAGTAGTGAAACGGTGCCTAGTAAAAATCAACCAAGTGCACATTATTCTTGAGAATAACCAATGAGCACCATATACAGATAACTAACTGTGTGTAAACTCAATTTTTAAGGTGTAACAGCAGCCAACTATTCCATTTAACATGTTACATTTTAAAAATTCAGTGACATATAAAATTTTAATCAAATCAGATAAACACTTCAATCCTATATTGCTTTTCCATTTTTAAAATCCTTAATAGAAACTTATAAATAACCTGACAAACGACATGCAAAGATGTATATGTAATGTATATATGTACACATACAAAAATGTATGGATATATATCTTTAGCTTTGAATGCGTTTCTTTAAACATCTTATTTCTCTGTAAATATATTACCACTTGAAAATTTCTACTGTAAGTTTCACCTTAGCTATTGAGAAACACTGGCTATTGAAAGTTCCAAGGCCAAAGAACTGTTATTCAGCTTGGTATGTATCAGGCTTACAAATTCATCAAACAAGATTGAAATGACCAGCTGCCCATCAAGAAATACATTTTTGTCGTGACATATCCTGCTAATAGCAAAAAGAAAATATCTTTAAAATGATATTTGCAGTTGATAGTGATTACACTAATTACAGGGAGTTGGTACAAGTATGTAACACATCTTAATTTTTTATTTTTGGTGTCGGGGATCGAACTTGGGTCCTTCCGCTTGCGAGGCAGGCCGCGAAACCACTGAGCTAAATCCCTGGCCCTTTTTTTTTTTTTGGTACCAGGGATCGAACTCGGGACCTTGTGCTTGCAAGACAGGTGGCAGAACCACTGAGCTAAATCCCCGGCCCAAAAACTTGGTTCTTGAAATATACATTATGCAACCTACAACTCTATGTATCTTCAAAGGTACTAAGTTTTACAAACTAAGTCACAAGATGCATTCATATCTGCTTTAGGCTTCAGGGAACAAATCAAACAGGAATGAAGTTTATCTAAACTGCAATCATGCCTTAGATTTCTTAAGTGAAAGTGATCCTGTTTTGAGTCTGGACAGACCAGACTTGAACACCAAATTTGGTAATGAAGGGCACCCTTCTGGCGAGGATATGCTTTTGTCTAAAATTCTGAATAGTGATCTTTCAAGATCCCACAGGACTTTATCACATTAGATTTTCCTTAGTTAGACACTGGTTCTGTACTAACATTCCACAATTATAAAGGTATATGATGAGAGCTCCTTGTATTTTTAGTTTTTACTCAAGATAATGAAGAAATGTTCAAACACCAACTCTGACTTGAAAGGGGAACTCATTTTTTACTTTAAGGCAAAGAAATGGGCAAGATAATCTAATTTATCTTATTCTCCTCTAATTTCAATGAGCTGCAGCAGCCTCTTTTTGGTTCTGGTAGCTCTTCAGTATACCATGTAAGGAACTACATTAGCAGATACTTAATCAGAAAAATGAACATATTCTACTTTTATGATGTGTAAGTAGACATAGAAGCCAATTTTTCTTTTTTTTTCTTTTTTTGGATGTTTCCAGTAAGCCCAAATGAACATGGTAAGTTATCTTTCCTCCCTGTTTTGTGCTTAACAAGCTGTCTAGTTTAAAAAAATACATTATATTTTTATTGTTTAAAGATTTTCATAAAATTTCATTCAATGTGATACAGCACTATACCAAGCGCTTAAATGACAAATAAATTAAAAGCTGCACAACACACAAAGAATCAATAAAATCAAAAGGCTTGCCTTCCATGGGACTGTACCATATTTAAATCACTGCTTGTATGAGTAACAGGAAAGAAATTTAACACAGTATTAAAACTGAACCTAGAAGAAAATTAGAATCTTTAAAAATTTATTTTCTCCACAAGCACCGATTATGCTAATAATTCAGTAACATTATAAACTATGTTTTAAATTTTTATTTAACTAGAAGACCACATATAACACATTCTTAAATCGTGTTTAAGATAACTTAGTTTTAAATGCTTCATTGCTGCAATTCTCTCCTAAACCATTTATTCTGTATCAGGCTGGACCCAGTAACATGAATGTTATAAAGCAAAAGATGATTTCTGGAGATTTTCTAATTTTGTCCTCACTGTCCTTATGAACTCCCAAATAACCTTTCAAACTACAATTCATTAAAAAAAACAGGAATACAAGACCCCAGCATGATTAATGTAGGTACTATATTAGTTCCTGAAAATAATGAATTAAACATGTTCTCAAGAACTAAACACATCTTTAAAGGCTGTGTCACTCAGTTATAATATATTTTTACTTATACTTTTTGTAAAGAACTGACTAAAATACAAGTTTACCTAAAGGTCAACAAACTTTATTATTGATTCACCTATCCATTATTTTTAATATAAGCTAAATTTATTTCCATTACTAAAGAAATTTTGTTAACAGCAAAGGAAACTGTGTTTCCTGTAATTAGTTCTTTTAGGTCTTTCATACTTTGTCTTATTTGCAGCATTTCAACAAAAAGAATCTTAGTGATATTCACAGATTTGTTGAAATACAAAAACCTGGAGAGACAATCTTACTACTGTATAAAGGAAACAGTCTTTTGTGTAAGCTGTTGCTCAAGCTGAATCATCACAAAAACTCTTACGAAACGAACAGCCTCAAGTTTGACAACTAAACTAGTTGTTGCAAGCTTCCACTGATTCCATATCCAACATACTCTCCCCGAAAGGAAAAGGAGTCAAGGTGCCTAACTTCACCTTGCTATGACGTCATTTATACCGAGAATTTCTCTGGAGGCCTGGGTAACAAAGAACCCGCCTGACAGACTTCACACAGTAGCTGGCAGTTATTACTGATCTAATGATTTTCTGCCAAAGCCAATCAAGAGGACTGGAGCTAACACATTCATTTTGTAGATGTGAACTTTGGAAACGGTCACACTACCACTCTAGAGACTCTGAGTACTCTCCTGTATGTCAGTGCTTGCCATCATCAATGTCCCATCCCCTGTGACTTCTCTGCCCCATTTCCAAATTAAGCAGCCCCAATAATAAACTAAATACAAGATTTCATTAAACACAAATTAACATACTAAAATTTTGTGCCCTGACAACAATGTAGAAAGTTGCATCAATAAAAGAAAGTATGCAGTATCTTACTATTTATCACGGAACTGAAAACGGTATTTTCAAAGACCCTTCAATACTAGAGATCAGATCTCAAGAAAATCCTCACTTTCTGGCCCCTCCAATGATGGGCCAGTTCTGGTTGTGTATTACCCTACAAAGGGCCATCTCTCTGTCCCGGGATTACCAACAATTTTCTTCACGGTAGATCTTACCTGTGTAAGTACGAATCTAACAATGGTCAACTTCTTTCTTTTTCATCAGCTTGTCTTATACTTCCCGTCTGATATAACAGACCTCTACATATGTGTTTCTATGAAACTACTTAAATTACAACAGAGTTGGTCTCGTAGTCTGATGTTCTCGCGGAACTCTGAATTCAACTTATACCTTAAGTGAATGGTAAACATGCGAGTAGTTCAGAACAGCAGCACCGGCGACAGGGACTGCACACGAGCGCGCACACGCAGACCTAAGGCGGCTCCCCGACCAAGCTCCCAGCGCCCCAGGCGGGGGAGTGTCCCAGCTGAGGCCAGACCTCTGTCGCCGCGCCCGGGACGGCAGGGAGATCGGGAACGCCCGCGGGGTCCAGCCCCTCTGCAGCTTCTCCCCCGCCGGCCCCTCTCGGCCTCGCGCCCCGCCACGTCCCTCAACTCCCCGCCCAGCCAGGCCGAAGGGCTGCACGGGAGGTGGGACGGGGCCACTCACCGCGATCACGACCGTGTCCTCCCCCTGGAACTTGGCGACGTACTTGTCGCCGCGGTTCACCTCCGCCTCGTTGAGGGGCCTGATGCGACACATCACTTTGATATTGCACTCGGCCGGGTCCGCCATCTTCCCGGGCCGGGCCGGGGCCGCTCCTCGCCGCTCAGGCTCGGAGGAAAGAGGCGGCAGCGGAGGCTCGGGGTCGCGAGGGCGGGCGGGTCCGCGGTCGGCCGAGCAGGGGCGGCGGGGAGGGGACTCCAGACGCCGGCGCCGGCAGCCTCGGCCCGCGCCTCACTTCCGCTCCATCATGGCGGCCGCGGCGGCGCGGGGCAGAGCGTCGGGCGCCTCAGCTTCTCCCCGGCGGGCGCGGACCGGCTGCGGGAACGGGGGAGGTTCGGGGTGCCTGGCAGCGGCGCCCTGCTTCCTCCTGTTAAAACGCAGGCCGGGCCCGGCCGTCCGCGCCCTGGGCTGTGGTCCCCGGCTAACCTGCCGGCAGCCACCCGACGCCTCCAGAGCCGCAGACCGGCGACTGGGCGGTGCGAGCGCAGGATTGCGCAGGCGCAAGGAGCGTGAGCCGCGGGACGACCAATCCGCGCCCGCGCCGCCCCGCGCTGCCGGGGCCACGCCGAGGGCTCCGCCGCCCGCCCGGGGTCGCAGATTGCAATCGCTCAGAAGTTCCCTGGCTGAGGCCCCCGGGGCTGCCAGGTCCGAGCCGCCGGCGGCATTCCCCACACTCGCTGACTTACCTTTATTTCGGCGAGGAGGAGTCTAAAGTTACGGTTTAACTCCAGTGCCAGCTCCCTATTAGGAACGGTTTGCTTTCTGGGGGCGGGGGTGCCAGGAAAAGGGCTCTGAACGAAGGGTGGGGCGGCCCTGTTCCGAGCGGGCGCTCCTTCTTGAGAGAATGGGTCGCGGAGACCGGAGTAAGAAAGAGGAAGTTTCGCCTAGGGAGTGAAGAGGGTTGGAGAAGAAACGTGGGAGCGGGGCGGGCTGGAGAGTCCCTGCGGCCCTCGCCCCAGTCCCGGTCGCCCTCTTGGCTCGCACAGCGGGGCGGTGGCCGAAGCTGCGTCCTCAGCGCCTCGCCCGTGTTAGGGAATCGGGGATCCCGGGCCCGGACTGTAAACTCGGAACTCACCAACCTCGTACCCCGGGCCTGACTGACCTGTAGTAAAGACGCTCTCGAAAGGCTTAGCTAAGTCTGGGTTCCGTGTCTAAGAAAACTTCGCATTCTGCTTTCAGAGATGAATACCATAAAGGTTCTTTGCATGGAAATGGCTCTGAAGTGCATCGAAGAACTGCAGTGACAATTAGAAACCTTTCCTTCGACCCCCCCCCCCCCGGTTTTGTTTGAAAAATGAGTAATTGGACTTTGAAAACCAGTGACCCCTGTGCTCACCCTTTCAGAAATGAATCCATAGCTCTGTAGATTCAGGTTGATTGATCCACTGCAATGCAGAAGCGCTCACACCAGAGGAACCGTGAAGTATCTCAAAGGAGAGGGGGGAGTTACAACAGTATTTGGGGGAACATGTGGAGTTTTGATGAAATTGAATGAAGCAGTGTTTTGAGAGGCTCCAAGCAAAGCAGAACTACAAATAAAGGGACGAACATCAGATTTCCTTGAATATTGCAAAGTAGTTAATACAGATGCAGAATATTTTCAGAAAGCCTTTTTTGAAGCTATCCAACTGCCTTGGAAATCAAGTCTTCTCTATCTCCTCCAGGCAAGAGTGGAATCTTTTCTTCTTACTGATACAATTTTACAGCAGTTTCTGATAGTCTGTGATATTAGAGAACAAAGTTTTTCAGTAAGAAATCAGGAGTCATTCAAAAGAAGTTGTGACACTGTGGATGTAGCATGCCCATGAGAGAAAGTAGTTCTTTTTTCTGTTCATTTGTAGCTGCTTTATCTGTCTGTTAGTCCAATCTGATGAGTATAGGGTAGACTGTTTTTCTTCCTTACCCCTTCAGTCCTATTACTCTTCATCACATCTATATCCTGTCATCCTTCTTTATAATTTCAGAAGGAAACAACTCTTTCCCTCCCCCAAACAAAATTTTTGTTTACATCCTAAAATCCGTCCAACTCCCATACCCAGATTCTACCAATGTTCATCATCTTATAGCATTAATTTCTTTTATTTTCTCTCAGCTTCCCTGAAGGAAGGAAACAACCAAACCTGACACCTTATTTGATTCGTGTTGATCACTGGTCCTCTGTCAAGAATAAAGACCCTAGTTAAAAGTGCTAAGCTTAGATTTTTGGGGGGAGGTGTGGTTCTGGGGATTGAGCCTAGGGCCTTGGCATTGAGCTACATCTTTAGTCCTTTTTTGTTTAAGGTAGAGTCTCCCCAAGTTGCTAAATTGCCCAGGCAGGGCTTGAATTTGTAATCTTCCTACCTCAGCCTCCCAGAGTGCTGGAATTACAGGTAAATGCCACCACATCTGGCCATAAATTCATATTTTAATAAGTAATAATGCTATTGCAGGAGGGAAGAGTACGTGACCTGAACTCTCATTTGTACAGAAATAATTGGATATTTTAAGGGAAGAATGAGGGAATGCAAAGGGAGATGATTTGGGTCCTAGTAGAGTCATGGAAGTGAAAAATTTTAAAAAGCAGGAAGTATGTGTTGTATGGGGGGAGTCTGTGGAATCTTTTGAGTTTGTTAACTGTTACTTAAGGAAGTAAAGGCTCCTTCCCTCTCACAGAGGTTAAGAGACAGTGGACCTATTGTCCGGCATTTCCTGCTACAAATAGTATACATGTTTTGTTGCTAGTCTTGAGTTTTTTGAGGAAAATACTTCTAAGGGAACTATGGTCATCCTGAGTGTCTCATTCAGCTATTAGGAAACTATGGTAGTATTTTGTTCAAGTCTTTATAGTCTGAAGGTGAGGTCTAGCTGGGAAAGATTTCAAAGAAACCTAGCTAGAATCTGGTCAAGAAGGGAATCTAACTTCACATTTGCCCCTGTCAAGTGGATGAAGTTGACTAGAAGACACTCTCCGACTGCCCAAACAATCCCATGTGAAGGTAGCGATGGCTACTCAACTTCCTCTGCAGAAAAGTGTAGGCCCAAAAGTCTGTGTCCAGAAAAAGCACAATTTAGAGTTTTAAGAATCAAATCAAATTGGTCATTAATTTAATAATAATTTTTAAAAAGCTTTTTTTGAGACAGTGTCTTGCTATGTAATTCAGGCTGGCCTTAAACTCACTCCGATCCTCCTCCCTCGGCCTCCTGAGTGCTGGGATTACAGGCATATGCCACCACACCCAGTTTAATTTAATAATAATTTAAACATCGTGTGAACTAAGTAAAATATGACTGGTGGGCCGGATGTGGCAGGTACGCCGAATGGCTTCCGACCTTCGCAGCAGAGTGTCACAAAGGCTCTATCCTCAGCTCTCTTCTCTGTGATCTGTGCTAGAATCTCTTATCCAAAACCTGGCCTTTTATCTGTGTGACATTGCCATTCCATTTATCCATGTGCTTATAGGCTACCTTGTTGAGGATGCTGTACTATAACCTGAAATATACCATTCCAGAAATGGAATTAATTATCCTCTCCTGCCTGCCAACACTTAATTCAACTACTCAGCTCTCTAGTTTTGATTATCAGTATCAGCATTCTTCTGTTCTTCCAAGCTAAGAAAGTTACTATAACAGGTTACAATTTTGCTTATCCTCTATTCATACAAAAGAGAAACAATGGTAATTTGTGTATGAAGCTCTTCAACTTCCACTCCATTATTCCCCTTTCTTCCCCCAGCTCAGAAGATCTAAGGAATGATTGATCTAGAGCAATGATTTCCAAATTCTACTCCAGAAAATTAAAAAGTTTCAAAGAAGTGACGCAGGCAGCTTCATGGGTGGGGGAGACAAAGGAAGCAGGTGGAAGGGCCATACAGTGAAGCTCAGGGACCTCTAATGTGTGAGACTGTTGCCTGTCAACTTTTGTCTTTTCCTTTCTCCTGCCTAAAAGATTCTGGAAACTGAGGCTCAATGAAAACAAAGCCAGGAAAGGAAGTGTCTTGCAAGAGCCTTTTGCTTTCAAACCTGCCACATATACTTCTCCCATGCAGGGAAGCACCAAGGTCCTCTTGTCACAGGACCAGAGAGGTGAAAAGTGCAAAGTGAAAAACAAAATCTTTCTCAAAGTTATCCTGTCCTGTGAGTAAGGAATGGTAGTATCAGGCAGTAATGATTTAAGAAATATTATCATGGGGAAACAAAAACATGATTCAAAAAACTGGTTACAAACTGGTTAATTTGTTTTTCTTCCAAATATAGAAGAGACTGCTGTTCCTCAACACAAACAGTGAAAGAGTAGACTTTTGTGAGTATAGTTTGAGATTAAACTGCCCTCCTTTTGAATCAACACATTTTCTTCTTATGTTCTCTGTGTAGTTCTATCATCATTTTTAAGTAAATCAGTATACAGTGTTTATACTCTAAGGCTAAGTAATTATTCGCAGCCTAGCCATATAGTGCAGTATGATCACATTGCCTATCTTGTGCAACTTTTTGTTTTTTGTTTGGAAGTTAAAAAATTGCCTCATTTTTTTATCCCAGCTGTTTACTCATGATACATTCCAAATATGCACCAGAAGCATAAAACTACTCTTCTAGCTCCTATTTTTGTTGTTCAGATATCTGATTTGTTTTGTATATGATCTTCTTTTCCTTACAAGAGCTTTGAATATCTTTTTCTCAGGACTTCTTTTTTCCTATTTTTCATCCTTGTATTTTGTTCTCCTTTCTGGGAGATTTAACCTCATTTTTACCTCTTCTATTGGAGAGATACAAAGAGATACTAGATAGATAAGTTATAGCAATAGACATTCAGAGAACAAAATTTATTGGGTGTGCTAATCCCACCTTGGCATGTATGTGTGTGTGTGTGTGTGTGTGTGTAAAGCTCTATGAATTTTAATTCTCTGAATGTTTTTAATGAAATGATTTTATTTCATGGAGACTATCTTTTCTTTTTTGGTACTGGGTTGAACCCAGATCCTTTGTACTGAGTGACATCCCTAGCCCTTTTATATTTTAATTTTGAGACAGCCTTGCTAAGTTGCCCACTCTGGGCCTGACCTTGCAGGGCTAGGCCTGTCTCATCCTCCAGA